AAAGGCCCAGCCGGTGGGATCAAGGATCGCTTGTCCGATCGGCAAGCAGTGGTCAAAACTTCACACCTCTCAATTGCTATCCTGTCTGATAATGACATGCGTCAGTCTTACTATAAATCCAATTACCACCAGTGCTTGCCTTTCATAGGACCGTTGTTTGACCTACTAAAAGCAGAAACGTTTGAACATCTCCTTTGATACCACCCTGAGCCCCACCCACCAACACCACCCCTCACTGCCATCATGTAAGAACGAGTCGAGGAACTCTTTTCTCGGCTGGCCGTACGATCAGGGAAGCAGGCATTGGTCAATCTGATTTCACACCTCTGGCTTCTGGCTACCCAGGAAAGTTTGCGTAGTAGCTCGCTACTCTAGCACTCTCACGGGCAGTCGTGAGATTTCACACCCACACTACCCTGACCATCTGCATCGCTCAGGACTCACATGATGGGGTAATATCTACCCCCGAAAAATAGCACCCCTACTCCCCTTCCTCGCCCAGCGGCATGGCCTTAGCGTTAAGTTTAGTGCTGGCAGAACCAAACTTGCGAGTTTTGTTTCAAATCAGGGCTGAGTGGGCAAAACATTTTCCATCTTAGACAGGTGAAACCCTCGGATGGGAGCGGATTTTTCTTTCTGTTTCCGCGTTGGACAGATTTCCGTTTTATACTGGTAATTAAAGAGGAATATATCAAGGGGGGAGTGGGGAGATTCCGTTAAGACAGGTTTCCGTTTTATACAGGTTTCCGTAAAGGCAGGTTAGACTGTATTTATTTCTGATGACCGATTCTAATTGTGTATCCGCCAATTTAGGTCAAACACTTTTTTTGCGCGTCTCAAATTATGTTATGAAATGTAATTTTTCTTATCTTCCAGAACTATTCAAATTTTTTACAGTGATCTTTTTACTTATCATAGCATCCCCAATTGTAATTAGAGAGAATACTCACGTGCACAGTTTTGAAGTGTCGCGTCTCCGTAGTAGCCCGTTCTGCAGTGCTCGCAGGCGAATCCCTCTGTGTTGTAGAGACAGCGCAGACACTCGCCCGTGCTGCCGTCACAGCTGCCCGGATCGTCGGGGTTGATGTTGTTGTTACAGACGCAGGGCTGGCACTGGCCGCCCACCTGGGATGGGTCTCCGTAGTAGTTCTCGATACAAGACTCACAGCTGGCACCTGGGGGGGGGAAGGTGTATGAATTTTTAATTTGAATGAAAGCGTTGTTGCGTCCCCAGGGACACAATTTATAAATTCAGGAGGCTGGTTTCCAACCTTGCCTGTCAGGGCCAACCTGGGATACAACATAAATAATAATAATAGATAGCATTTGTATAGCGCAACAGCAAGCTCTATGCGCTTCACAATCTATACTATTACCCCAGCAGACCTGAGAGCATTATGAAACAACCTCAACTTCCTGGGAAGCATACAGTGCAAGCAGCCATTTATAGGCGCTAAAACACTAACATACTGACAAGATCTTTCGCTATCTATGGCCGGGTACCCATTCTCACCTGGGTGAAGTGAGGAAAATTCGTGTAAAGTGCCTTTCCCAAGGACACAACGTCGGGCCCACGGCTCGGACCCACGAACACGCAACCTCACCACTAGGCCACCGACGCCACATCCCAAAAGAAAGACCAAGATACTCGACAAAAATTCCCCCCCCCCACTCGGTAATCAAACTTGGGTCTCCTGAAAGTGACAGCGAGCAGCCAACTGCAACACCACGGACACCGTTTGAAAGATAGATCTGAAGCCCACAATGAGCTCAGGGCCATTATGGCGATCTTTTAGTTTAATTTTTACAAAGAAGTTTTGAAGCACTTGCAACACAAATAAGTCAAATAAGTATCAAAGATTAGAGGAGTTACCGAGAGGTAACATACAAAGTAAAGAAATACAAAGGAATAGGACGATAGATGTTAGATAGTAAAGAAGGATTAAACCACACTGGAGCACCCGCCAACCGCCCACTTTTTTCTGGTTCTTTTCTACATGGAATCCCAGTTTTAAGTGCAAAGGCTGTTGTTCTACGGTTGATGGGTCTATACTTTTCTTTTAAGAAACTTTCATTTAACTTTAACCAGAACATTTTCCCTTACCTGTGTATCCAGTGCGACAGTTGCAGAAGACTTGCTGAGATCGAGGGTCGAAGCTGCAGGTGTCAGCGTGTTGGGCGGGGCTGCCCGGGCCTCCGGGGCACATGCATGGTCGGCAAGGGATACGAGCACCAATACGAGGGTCTCCATAATAGCCATCTTCACACCTACGTTTGGAGAAATGGAATAGATTTTTTACTGCTTCACCATGCCATTGATCATCAACAAAATCAATAATCAATCATTAAGAATCTAATTTATGGCAGGCAGACTGGTCTTTACATTAAAAACAAAAAGATTGGCAACTATCTGTTAAGTTTAGTTTAGTTTTGGTAAGTTTATCACCTTATCTCCCGCAAACCGCTGCCAGCGGCTCGGGCACATTCTTTTACGACAACTTTGGCGTTATATTACTTTTAGACAATTGCCAAAAACAGGTCTCTATACCGAAAGTTCTTTAATTAGATGAACATTCAAAACAGGTTCATTTGTTTTGATTTAATGACCAATTTAGAGACTTGGACGTCAACATTTAGATTCTGTACCAAAAGAAGGCCCCAGCACAATGGGTTTACTCCCTCCCTGGAGATAAAGAGTTACTAGCACTTCCAACAGAAATAGGTCATTTAAGTACCAAAAATTAGAGGTGTTACCACAAGAAGGTAACAAACAAAGAAAAGAAGAGATAAAGACTACAGATGTTTGACAGAAAAGGGAGCATAACACTCCACAGCATCCCCCAACCACTCAGTATTTCCGTTCAGTATTTCCTCACCTTTCACAAAAGCTGCCAGACGTGAAGTTTCTGCAGTTGATGCAGGCCCCAGTAAGAGGGTCGCAGACATCAGCGTTGCCGTTGCACTGGCATTGACGGCACTGAGGGAAGCCCCAGAAGCCGAAAAGACACTGGTCACAAGCGCGGCCTCCAACGTTCTGGATGCAGGTACACTGACCGGTCCTATCGTCACAGAAGTTGTCCCTGGCACCAAACTCATGGCAGTCACATGCTGTGGGAGGGGGGTAATTGTTTTGAAACAGAGTTTTACAGCAATTGCAACACAAATGTCATACAACAGCTGAAGATCAGGGTGTTATGAGAAAGTAACACCATGATAACTGTAGGCTGGAAAAAAAAAGCAACCCTACCCCCCCCCCCCAAAAAAATTTTTTTTTTAATTAAAAATTAAGAAGTACAACCTGCTGCTAGCAGTACCCTTCACCCTCCTTCATAAAAGGCAGAAGCTTGTCACGATTACCATAGTGAGCCAAAAAGAGACTCCCAAATAATAAAAACATAAATAGAAAGGGTACTGTAAATTGTTCTTCTTTCTTCTCTAAGATTTTAAAATTTTGCCTATCCAGAAAACCAACAAAGAAGGGGGTCTTACTAACATTTACATCCAAACATAATAAAAGGACTCGTTGTGTATAATAAAATCTTTGGAGAGATGGAGTTGGGATTCAAAACGAAAAAGAGGAAGAAAGTCCAGAAGAAATGCAACCTATTTTACTATAGTCTGACAACCACCATAACTTACGCCTGCAGCCGCTGGGCCCAAAGCCATACGTCCCTGGAGCACACTGGTCACATCTGCGGCCAACAACGTTGGGTTTGCACTCGCACTGTCCTCCACTCGGGTTACACTCCAGGCTCAGAGATCCAGTGACGTCGCAGTTGCATTCTGAGAAGAAGAAGAAGGCTCAAGTTTTATCTTTCCCCTCTTGCTCTCTGTCTTTCATTGTCTGTCTGTCTGTCTCTCTCTCTCCTTCCCGTCTTTCTCTCCATTCCTGTTTTTGACTGTCTCTCTCTCTCTGCATCTACCTGTCCTTCCCTTTCTTCCTCTGTCTGTCTCTTTCTCTCTGTCTGTCTGTCTGCCTTTCTGTCTATCTATCTACTTGTCTGTCTCACACACACAAGAGTATGCACGCACACACACCACCTCCTATCTATATATCCATATATTATACATGGTGCTGTGACATCTGATCATGACAGCAACAGATACCATATCATGGATACATCTATACATTACAAGGGTCTATATGGCAGCCATCTTGAAACCTGATAGGAAAAATGTTTCATTTTACCAGGAGAGTATCGGTCATCAACACTGGTCACATTTAATAACCTCGAATTTGTTTCAATAAAACCATGAATACCAATGGACATAAATGAGCAGTAGAACCCTGATAATACAAACTTTATGAGAGCAGAGAATTTCGTACAAATTTCAAGGGAGCAGAGAATTTCGTACAAATTTCAAGGGAGCAGAGAATTTCTTTGTGGTAAGCAGATTTCACGTTAGGGAAATTATAACGCATAGAGAATGTGGGGGTTGGGGGAAATGGGGTTTGAAAACCTTTCACGTTAACAGAATTTCATTTCAAATGCCTTTGTGTTACACAAAGTCTACTATATTTATTATTATGCCTGCCATCATCATAAAGTGCCAAGTCTGCGAGCACGAGAGAGTAAGTTCTACCAAACATCTCCAAACTTCTCCCTCACCAAGGGCTCCATTGTGCAGTACAGCAGAGATGGAGAAGGTGTGTCTCTGGCACTGCTCGGGCAGCTCTTGTTTCAGAGAGGGGAACTGCAGCACGTCGCAGCGGCTGTACAAGAACTCGTTCTTCATGTAATCGGGCAGTCCGGCGCCTTGGTAGATGGGGATGTAGTCTGGGCTGGGCACCAACAGGATCTGAGAATGGACATGTTTTTTTTTAGTAAGAGTTTTACGGCACTTGCAACACAACAAGGTCATATAATTGCTGAAGATTTAGAGGTGTTACAGGAGAATTACAAACACAAAAAGGGAGAAGAGATAAGGATGATAGATGTTTGATAGGAAAGAAAGAGCAAAACGAGTTGTGCATTAAATATATGTGGCAGTTCCAGAAAAACAGTCGAAAAGTTTCTTCTTTCTTGTTAAAATAGCTTCACAGATAGGAGTATTCTTGAGTTCTAGTAATCACATTTCTTGATGAAATTTGTTGTTGTACTCAGGTCCTTGCTTGAAAGTAAGAGCCCATGCAAGTCCACACAGTCTAATTACACCAAAGCCAAAACTTGTCAACCTGTACCAAAGTCTCAGTTTTTAGTTTTATCAACACATCAATTCAATACATATGCATAACACTGTTATAGTGTAGCTAAGCCTAAGGATTGATATCTTGATTCAACATTCATCTGAAGACAGAGTAACTGAAGTTTCCAACTTCACTTGACCAACACAAACCAGACTCCTTCATTACTTACAGAATCAATAAGCAGTGTAGCCTCAGGGCTCTGGCGGCCAGAGATGTAAGTGTTGAAGTCAATGCGGACGGTGTATGTCGTGTCCTGCTCCAGGCATGATGGGGGGGACACAACTTGGAAACGAGCGCCTGATGGGGTAGAAAACAGAAGCTCCAGTAAAGCCCTCAGAGGAAGAGACAATCAAGGGAACTGACACTACATGGTCAGGTTGTCCTTAACTCTTACAAGTCGTATGCCTATTCCCTTTAGTTTAGTTTTAACAAAGAAAGAGGTGTTACAAGGGAGTAACAAACACAAAAAAAAGGAGAGATAAGGACAACCCATCGTTCTAATTGTTATTTTGTTTTTAAAAGCTTAGGCCAAGCCTATTCTACAGATTTAAAAAAATACAAATTTTTAATACACATCTGATGACAAATTGATCCGCCTAATCCTCCCCCCCCCCCCCCCCCCCCCCAAAGGACCTCAAGTTTTTGCTAAAGACCACAAGATTATACATCTGCAAGCCCTTTGATATACTACACAGTGAATAAATCAAACTACAAGTAAAGTGGATTTCCCATGAACACAACTTTGGGCAGAGCTGAGCTAAGCTGAACTTCGAACCCCCCTACCTATAACCTTGTGTATGACAATTGTGTCACGACGTAGTGGAATCAGGCGCTCGTCAATTTTTGTGCATTTGGAGTTATAAGTATCATCTTAAAGCTTGTTCATTCGTCTTGCACTTGGCGAAGTCAAGATATTTACGATTGAAAACTGGTGTCAGAGGTAAAATTAGTGAAAAAATAGCCATCAAAGTTTGGTGACTTCCTAAGCTTGAGAGTCCTTGGAAACTGCAAATTTACATTTTTTAAACGGTTATCAGTACAATTCATACATAAATGTGTTATTAAATGGACAGAAAAGGTGTTGAACCAAACAAAGAAAATTGCCCATTGGCCACAAAAATGCCCGTTTCTCTCATTTCATTATTTTGACAAGCGCCGGATTTCACCACGATGCCTCACAAATGAGACAAACCTGGGGGCAGTGACATGGTCTTGAGATCATCCCTCGGACTGAAGTCTCCACACAGACCATCAGGGTCCACCGCGTTGGGCCGGATCACAGTCACTCTCACGTCTTCAAAAACCTCAGGCATCTGGTAGAGAACCCGAGAAATAGGGAGAAACAGATAACGATATGCTTAGACTAGACATTCTAAATTCACAACATACAACGCAAAGGTAAACCACATGTTTGTTTTAGTAGAGGTTTTACGGCGTTCGCAACTGCATAAGGTCATATGAGCACCAGAAGATTAGAGGTGTTACAAGAGAGTAACAAGCATAAAGAAAAAGGGGAGACAAGGACGATAGATGTTTAATAGGAAAGAAGAAGCAAACCACACCAGAGCACCCGCCAACCACCCACTTACAAGAGAGTAACAAACATAAAAAAGAAGGAGGGGAGATAAGGACTATAGATCTATGTTTGATAGGAAAGAAGAAGCAGCATGAAAAAGAAATAACACCTCAAGCATATGGTAGAGACCCCGAGAAATAGGGAGAAACAGAAAACGATATGCTTAGACAACACATTGAAATTTCACAACATACAATGCAAAAGCAAACCACATGAAAAAGAAATATGACATCAACTTGACTGAACTGCATCCAAATTTATAAAATTTCTATTTGATGAAATTGTAAGTGTAGCAGTATTAAACACATAACTAATCATACTGAAAATTTAATACAGAAACATTTCGCCTTCTTATTGAACATAGAGGGCTGAACATGTATAGGAAGTTTTTTTCCCCCCAGCTGAATAACAGACTCAATATTTCTTAAAACATTATCAGTAGTTAGATACCATAGAATCAAAAATTTGAATTCATCATCCATATTTTCAAAATCAAGCACCCTAAATTCATGAGTTCTAACAGCATAAAAGGGAACAAAAAGGACAGCATCATTACTAAAATTCACCAATTTTTTAACAGAGAACAGCACTATTGCTAAAGCATGATACGCCTCTCCTTCTTTAAACCATTCAAAGCAAATAAATAGTTTAAATGGAACCATTCAAATAAAGAAATAAAAGGAATCATTATTTTTTTCAAAATAAGAATTAGAAAAAAGAGAAGAAAAGAAATCTTTTATCATGAACAGAGTAAATGCATTGGCTTGCAAATGTGTAATTCTGTACCACACAAAATCTACAAGATTTCAGACACATTTTTCCAAAATTTCATAATATGTAATAAGCAAGATGACAGACAAGTTACAACCAAAACAGAAAAAACGTTCAAAGAGAATGAAAAGTGTACTGAGAAAGCATGAATAGAACTTGATAATCTAAAATCAATTACAAACAAAAAACAAAACAAACCAAAATGCAAAGCAAAGTATGTAAAGAAAGAGTATTTCTCCTCCCCCAACCAGAAATTGAACATAAAATCTTATTCATTCCAACAGTATGAGTGCTCACAAAAATTAAAACAAGAACGCAATAAAATGTGTAACCTTCCCAAAAAGAAAGCTTTCTCACCTTTTAACCTCAAGCTGCATGAAGAAGGCAAAGTGGTCACTTATTTTTACAATAATTTTAGACAGCAGAGAAAGACTATGTCAAAAATGTGCCGCTACCCCAATGTGTTGTAGAACAAAGTAACTGTTGACACCTATTTTACTGCATTCTTATCAAGTGACTGGACAGCTTTATTGTTTTACAAAACAAAAGAAATAATTCCACAACTAAAGTATCCTTGATCCTTATCGGAATGGACAATCATCTGTGCCTGAAAAACCAATCGATAACTGCAAGACTAAAAAATCTCGTTCACAGGTGAAAACAATTCCATTTGTTTGGGGGGGTTTTTTGGCAATATCAATGATCTTTAAGGTGAAAGCAAAGGTATTTTTAGATTTTTAATAAAGTAATACAAAAAACAGATTCACTCTGTAAAATAATCGGTTCCTGAAAACAAATAAAATCTATAATAGCAAAACAGTACTCACGTGTGGTACAATGTAGACGGTGTCATTAAAAAAAATTATAACTTCGAAATTACAAGCCTTCTACCCTCCACCAATAACAGCTTTATATGCTACAGACTTTAAAAATTAAATCTGCCACCAAAGCGTCCAAAACAATACCTTAAAAATCTATCAAAGCAAACTCCCACTAAGCAAAAACACCCAAAAGATGAGGCGAAATGTGCAGGTGTCTGTAATACCTTCCCAAAGTGGACAATGTAAAAATATAAATTAAAAAGAACTTTAACCTCTTCACTGCTGGGTAGATGTATAATATTCACTTCTGCTCACCCAAACTGGTTCAGTGCCTTTTTTTTTTTCTCCTAGGTTATTGAAGACTTTTTCAGATGCACTGTTTGCAACTTGAGCGACTGCCTATCCTTAATAAGGTGAAACACGATATTATGGTTTTGTTTGAATCTCTCTTGAATGTACATTAATTTTGACTCGTCTGTACAAAAGTAAATGAAAACACCTCAGCAGTGAAAGGGTTAAAATATCCCTGACCTGAGACGGTCTCAGGCTGATTAGTAGGATATCGGGGCAGGTCTAACAGTGAAAGAGTTAAAAGGAAAAAAAGTCCTACCCTTGGGTCATATCTGACGACAATGTCGTAGTAGGTGCTGAATGGGAGGTTGTTGACGGTGAACTCGATGCTGTCTCCTTCTGTCACCTTCATGTAGCCAGGTCCTGTCCAGTAGCTGGGAGATCCAGCCACCGGCTCCCTGATGTACACACGAGCATTCTGAGAAAGAAAAAAAAACAAAATTTTATACACATGATCCACTCACAGTCACGAAAAGTCACTAAGAAGTTCAATTTTCATATTGTAGAATTAAAATATAATCCTTTTGTTATTGTGGAATGTCATAAAAGTTGTTGGACGGGAGTTATGGTTTACTTCAGAATCAGCATGATAAAGTCACATTTCCCGACTAGCAAACTGAGATTTGACGCACAACAATTAGTAACATGCTGACACATTTACTATTTCTATTTCTAGGTAACTTACATATAAATTCTGAACCAAATCAGGACACAGAACAAAAAAAAAATCCCCAAACTAAATGATGTGCCGTGCTAAAAAAGCACAGTGATAAACATTAACAAATCTTGGAGTAAACCAAAAGAGACCAGAGTCAACTTACACCGCTGCCAGTTCCGTACTCAGCCTCGAACTTGTAGTGGTCCAGGTGAGCAAAGAAGAAACCAGGATCAACCTGAAAACAAAACGTCAAAAGTAAGACTCAGTGTGGGTCACATGTACTCTGACATCACAAAGTAGGAGAGAAAAAATAGCAATAAAAAGCATACCTGAAGAATAAATAGACAAATCTTCAACTCCTCTCATAACAAAACAGTTGTCTCAGAGTCACTAACCAAATGGGCATAAGGTTGGAAATTTTATAATAAAGTCTTATATTTAATCACTCAATGTTGAATGATTTGACAAATAATATTATTTATTTATTCACTAAAGATGACATCATATTATTTAGAAATCTGATAATTACAATAATTCTCTTGCCTGACTACATAAGACAAAAAAAACAACAACGAATAGCTTAAAACCAGTCAAATCTAAACTAAGTTGTTGTAAGACTGGAGAAATTTTTACGCAAAAATTAATTTGGACCCACATACTATTCAACCACAAACATCAGATATTTATCTTCACTTCACTCACAGAAAAAGATCAAACAGGGAAAGCCCTTGTACTGGAAACAATATTTGACCACTTCAGCCTAATTCAAAATGATTAAACCTCCTAAGGTACAACTTTAGAACAGGACATCACCTCAGCAGTCAACACGGTACAGCTAAAAAGGCATTTATCGCACAATCTGAAGGTAAATCCTGTTGTAAATCATTGAACATTTTTTTCACCGAATTTTTTCGTGGGCCTCTAACATTGACTCATGACTTTCACATGTAAACATGAAAACGGTGGTATTCCCCATAAATGACTGACCTGCCTTGAAAATAGGGAGAAAAGCTTTTTAAAAAAACAAAACGAATAAACACCAGACTTACCTCAGTACAGCGCATTCCACGGATGTGATGCCGGCACTCGCACTGGCCAGTAGCCTGGTCACAGGTGTAGCGGACAGCTCCGCCAATATCACAGTCACAGGACTTGCAGCCGTAGCGGTCATCAGCACTCAGACCGTAGAAGCCAGGCTAAACGGGTAAAGGATCAGTAGAGATGAAACAAACAGATTAACTCACACGTTGTTGTACATATGCAATAGAGTATAAATACAGCAGCCGGTCCCTCTCAGCCTGTGCAGGTAGGATCGATGCCTGCCTCCTTTATGATCTTAATAGTGTCGATGGGGGTGTCAAACATCAACATCTTTATTTTCTAAAAAGCTGGGGGGAGATACTCCCTAATATCTCATAATAGAAAAAGAAAGGATACAAATCATGGACTAGTGTGGAAAAGGAGAAGTATAACCTGCCACAGTTCTCCACTATCATTGTGCCAAGGCAAATGTCTTTTCAATCCTCTTACTTTCATTTTGCTGAAGCTTAGGCCTCAGGATTTTCAACTGTCACAGGAAATTATTGAATAAACAGTCATTAAAATCAACTAATAACCCAGTAAGATGCCTGGACCAGCACTTTCATGAAGAAAGCCAACTAAAGGTACATATTTCTAAGTCAGGTGCACTTCTGAGCTTGGAAAAGAAGCCAATCCATTAACAATCCTTAGAACATTTCATCAGTTAACTCTCTTTATCTCCAGGGGAGGGGGGGAGAAACCCTCTATGCATGGGCCTTTTTTTGGTACAAATCTAAAGTTGACATGTATGTTACTAAATTGGTCATTAAATCAAAACATGTGAACCTATTTCGATAGTTTTTCATCTAATGAATAAAATCCCAGTAAAACTAGAGACCTGTTTTCAGCAATTGCCGAAAAGTAATTTGACATAGAATTCGTCATAAGGGAATATGCTCGTGCCGCTGCCAGCGGCTTGCCAGAGATTAGGAGTTAATTAAAGTACGTACATAGCACTCATCACAATCTTTGCCAGTGACATAACGCTTGCATCTGCAAAGGCCGGTCTCATCATCACACCCTAGGTCTGGAATAGTGCCATCTGGGTTGCACGTACAAGCTGAAAACAACAACAACAAATTTCTTGTTGAGATCAAAAACATTTGTAAATGAGGTTGTCATGGTGACAGTCACATGACTCGTCACGGAGAGAAGAGAAGGAGCAAGTAGAGTTAGTGAGTGAGGAGAGAAAAAGTATGTGCATGAGTGTATTTGTTTATTTTTAACAGAGTAATAGTTTTGAAGAACTTGAAACACAAATAGGTCATATAAGTACTGAAGATTAGAGGTGTTAATATGGAATAACATACGGAGAAAAGATAAGGACAAAAGATATTTGATGGGAAAGAAGAAGCAAACCAAACCAGAGAACCCACCAATCACCCAAAAGTGTATCTGTACTTTTGTCATAACAGCGACATACAAAGCCCAGTGAAATTTTGTACTTAAAGACGGTTGAGAATAGCATTTAGGAGCCTGTTAGAAAAGATTGCCAACAATCCATGATACTAATTGATGAAATGAGGCAGAAAGTACCGAACCATCAGGAAGCAAAAATGTCAGTAAAAACAAAGACGATTGCTATTCGCACACAACACACCACAACTTCTCGCAACCACCCATCAGTGAGGGAGGGGGACACAAACAAAAAGGCACACACAGTCGATCACAGACAACTCAAACACACCAGTGATTGGCAAATGTGTGTTCAACACATCCATAATTTTGGTAAACCACATAACAAAATACTCAAAACAGCAAATTGTACAAGCTATCCTTGATTTCCAGAAAGCTCTATGGCAGTCTGTCAGAGTTGAAGCGAACTGCACAGTTTGTGCGCGACATCGGACTGACTGTGTAGCTGCTGTCATCGAGAACGAGGAAGAAGGAAGAAGAAGAAGGTGATTTCCAGTTTTCTGTATTCGTGTTATCTGTGCCCTACTGTACCTTGTTATCGTGAAATGTTTTAACGTGTGTGAATGAGGTATTACGCTCAGTGATCACATGATTGGTGTAAAGCGCCCAGAGCTTACTCTCAATGATCACGGTGAGTGATGTAAAGCGCTCAGGGCTTATACTCATATGGGACAGAGCCCTATATAAATGCAATCTATTATTCTTACCTTGACATCCAAGAGGGTTGTCCTTCTGCAGGTTCCAGTAGTTGTCAGCACACTGGTCACAGCGTGGTCCCCTGACAAAGGCCTTGCAGCGACACCGGCCGGCCACGGTGCCAGCAATCTCGTCAGTCACCTGCTCACACAGGCCGTTCTGCTCCGAGCCAAACGAGTCGCAGTCACAGGCTGGGGAGACACAGTGGTTCGTAAATAAAACTTAAATCTTAAACATTCAATCCAAACAGCGGTTTTGGTTTGTTTTAGTAATAGTTTTGCAGCATTTGCAATACAATTAGGTCCTATAAATGCCAAAGATTAGAGGTGTTGCTAGAAAGTAACACACACAGACACACACACACAAAAGGGGGAGAGCTAAGGACGATAGATGTTTCTTTATCTTAGTAGAGGTTTTTCGGCGCTCCGCAACTGCATAAGGTCATATGAGCGCCAGAAGATTACAGGTGTTACAAGAGAGTAACAAACACCAAAAAGGAGGAGAGATAAGGACGATAGATGTTTGATAGGAAAGAAGGAGCAAACCACACTAGAGCACCCACCAACAACCACAAAGTGCTTCATAAATGACACGAAAATCTTAAAATATTTAACCTGAGAAGTAGTTGCACCTCTTGATTTTGCTCGCTTGAGTGAAGAGAAACACACTGATAGAGTGTCAATCATTTAGTGCATGGAGAGGGTAAGACAGTAAATAAATTCAAGAAAATGTAAGAAGGAATCATGAAATCATAAACAAAGTAGAAGCAACAAATCAAACCAAGTTATCGTTAGACTGAAAAAGGAATCAAGTAGTGATACCTAAAAATTAACTGTGAATCAAAATCAAACCCCCCACACATTCAAGAAAAAAAATTGCAACTACATGCACTATCCAAGACAATGAAAAAGATTGACAAATGATGGGGGTTTTTTTTCAAATTACAGACTTCATAAAGCAACATGGCAAGAGAAAAATTACCAGAAAAGTAAATACGCAAACAGCTGTAGAAAGATAGATAAAAATCTTCAAAATCCCAACGACAGAACTATCAGCAAATAATGAGTAACAGGAAACACATTAACCTATTTTATTAACCTATTTGTGTGCACTATTTTAACGAGGGACAAATTAGAATATGGTCTTTTATCTAATGAGCTTCTTATCTTAAAGATAAAGCAATGAATAAATCAATACACAAACTCCTTGCTTATTGTGCAGTGTATTTTGTTGTTGCTGAGCTGAACTTCATTACTGATGGCAGGGTAAGGAACATATTTCACTCACAACAGATAAACTGAAAAGGAATTGAAAGAGCAGTACCAGAAACCACTCTCAATGACTTTAACACAGACTTAAACATTTCAAGCAAGAGAAGTCTGGTTAAAATCTTCTTTAGTATTAGTAAGAGTTTTATGGCACTTGCAACACAATAAGGTCATATAAGAGCCGAAGAATAGATTTGATTATGTGTTACAAGAGAGTAACATACACAAAAAAAAAGGAGGGGAGATAAGGACGACAGATGTTTCATGGGAAAGAAGGACCAAACCACACAAGAGCACCCACCAACCACCCACTTAAAATCTTCAAAAAGGAAACTGGATGACTCACATAAAAACAAAATACAGACCGTAAGTTTTATTAATAATAACCAGACTGGACAGATAACAACTACAACTACATTAATGACCAGTTAGGGCCAACAGCAGCATATTACATAATGACCGAAAAGTTTGTTATTTTACAGAGACGGCGAACTTACGCTGGCAGATCTCTGGGTCCCTGATGTCCCTGGAGGGGTCCTGGTAGTAGAACTTCTTGCAGTCCTGGCAGTTGACGCCCCTGGTGTTGTGCATACAGTTGTCACACACACCTCCGCTAACCTCCCCTGATGCGGTGAACTTGGCAGCGTCAAAGTGACACTGGGATGCATGGTTGTTGCAATTACACCCTGTAAAGAAATGAGAGTAAGAAAAGTTCAAGTTAAAGAGTTGTCCTTATAGATGTTTTACACCAAAACCACATCATTTGTGAGGCATCATGGTTAAATCAGGCAGTCGTCAAATTAATGAAATCGAAGAAAACTGCATTTTTCCACAGGCTAATCAATTTTAATCAAATTTTATGTTTTTAGCTCACCCCATTTTATGTCCATTAAAAAACATTTCTGTGTGGATTTTACTGAAAAAATTTAATCAAAGGCACACAAAATGTAAATGTTCAGTTTCCAAGGACTCTCAAGCTATGGAAGTCGCCAGAATTTGGCAGCCATTCTCTCGCTAATTCTACCGCTGGAACCAAGCGACCTCCACCTCCTTCAATCAGAATTATCTCGACTTCTATTCAAGGTACACAGGTATTTTTTCATTAAAAGTAAGACAAATGAACAAGCTTTAAGACAATACCAATAACTCCCATGCCCAAAAATTGGCAAGTGCCTGATTCAACAGTGTCATGACGCATCTGTATCAGTAAGTTGAAGACAATAATAACAATTATTTCGTAGCAAGAAAGGAAAGACAATGGCATGGCATGAGTTTGAAGTCTTTTTCAACACTGTATGGTTATTCAAACGTTTTCCAATGTTTGAGGACTTAATAATGGTGGGAACAAATCTCTGTTAGACCCTTTCTTTAAACACAATTTGTCATTTCCTAATTGTTTTTGACAGTGAGTGTCCCACGTGGGCTTCATCAAGTACTACCTCATATGATTTCTTTTCCTTCCACGATATTCTCAGCAGTCTCCTAAGAAACCACATTTCTGTTGCTTCTATTTTATTTTAACTGTTTTTAGTGATTGTCCAGCTTTCACAGCCATATAGAAGAGTTGGCCATACATGGCATTTCAGAACTTTTATTTTGGTAGTCATTGAGATGTTTCTATTTTTCAGGATTGGGGAAAAAATGTTTGAATAAATACAAAAATTC